AAAAAATGCTCCCACTTGGGAATTTTTTAAAAAGGCTTTATATATGTATTTATAAGTTATCAATCTGTTTTCTTTCTGTATGCAGAGAAAAATGTAGGAATAATATGCATGAATCAGTTAAGTGGTTACCTAGCAGAACCTTCTTCATAAAATAGGAACAGAATAAACTATTTAAAATAGATTCTGGCTAATTTTGCTCCCTTTAACGTGCTTGAGTAGTTTCTAAATCTTCTGTGATTATTCTAGGTGTTTAACAATGGAAGGACTCCATTCTATTTTTAAAAGTTACCTTCACTTAGTTACATATGTTCATTTATATGCAATTAGCTTTGTAATGCTAAGGCAAGGATGTGTCAGAATAGTCACTCAAATTTCCTGAAAACATAATCATAGACCTGGGTCCTGGGAGTCACAGTGATAAGCTGAGCCTGACCACCCTGGGCTTGGGTGTCCCTGAGGGACCACCCAGTGATCTTCAAGTCTCACCAAGAGTCATGGTGACAGCTGACTCCTGCAACAGTGTGCTTGCATTGCCCCCCAGCAGACAAAGGAAGGGACAGAAATCAACCTGTACTTTCTGGACACCACCTGGTGTGCGGTGGCCGCAGCTTCTGGGAGCGGCTGTTGTCTAGGCAATGTCAAATCCACGAGCTGCTCCCAGCTGCTTTGCCAACATGGCGTGTCAGGGCGAGGCACAGCGCTGCGCCTGGGCTTCAGGAGCTGAGGCTGCGTGAGAGAGGCCTGGCCTCTACCACATGGGCTGTGAAGGGAACTGCATTTCTGGGCCACCTTCACTGCAGGTGCTGAATCTGTGTGTGCTCACGGTGTCATGGATGCTACGACTAGCATGTGGAGCAAGCCACCTTCAGAGATGTCTTCCCAGGGGGCGTGATCAGCTCCTCTATGGGGAGGATCTGGTGACAGAGCAGCCAGTCGACATGACAAGTAGCTACGTGACATCTATCCCCGAAGGAGGAGGGGTGATGGACTGCTGGTGCTTCTTGGGATGACCAGCACTGGTAAGGATGCAGCACCCTAAACATTGATCTACCATGTGATCCAGCAATGCTACTCTTGGGGATATACCCAAAAGACTGTGACACAGGTTACTCCAGAGGCACCTGCACACCCATGTTTATTGTGGCACTATTCACAATAGCCAAGTTATGGAAACAGCCAAGATGCCCCGCTACTGACGAATGGATTAAGAAAATGTGGTATCTATACACAATGGAATTTTATGCAGCCATAAAGAGGAACGAAATGTTATCATTTGCTGGTAAATGGATGGAATTGGAGATCATTCTGAGTGAGGTTAGCCTGGCCCAAAAGACCAAAAATCGTATGTTCTCCCTCATATGTGGACATTAGATCAAGGGCAAACACAACAAGTGGGAATGTAAACTAGTACAACCACTCTGGAAAAAAATTTGGAGGCTACTTAAAAAGCTAGACATTGATATACCAGATGATCCAGCAATACCACTCTTGGGGATATACCCAAAAGACTGTGACACAGGTTACTCCAGAGGCACCTGCACACCCATGTTTATTGAGGCTCTATTCACAATAGCCAAGTTATGGAAACAGCCAAGATGTCCCACCACTGACGAATGGATCAAGAAAATGTGGTATCTAGACACAATGGAATTTTATGCAGTCATGAAGAAGAACGAAATGTTATCATTCGCTGGTAAATGGATAGAATTGGAAACTTCATTCTGAATTAGGTTAGCCTGGCCCAAAAGACCAAAAATCATATGTTCTCCCTCATATGTGGACATTAGATCAAGGGTAAACACAACAATGGGATTGGACTATGAGCACATGATAAAAGCGAGAGCACACAAGGGAGGGGTGAGGATAGGTAAGACACCTAAAAAATTAGCTAGCATTTGTTGCCCTTAACGCAGAGAAACTAAAGCAGATACCTTAAAAGCAACTGAGGCCAATAGGAAAAGGGGACCAGGTACTAGAGAAAAGGTTAGATCAAAAAGAATTAACCTAGAAGGTAACACACATGCACACAGGAAATTAATGTGAGTCAACTCCCTGTATAGCTATCCTTATCTCAACCAGCAAAAACACTTGTTCCTTCCTATTACTGCTTATACTGCTTATACTCTCTCTTCAACAAAATTAGAGATAAGGGCAAAACAGTTTCTGCTGGGTATTGAGGGGGTGGGGGGGGAGAGGGAGAGGGTGGGGAAAGGGGGGGAGAAATGACCCAAACATTGTATGCACATATGAAAAAATAAAAATTTTTTTAAAAAAGGATGCAGCAAGAGTAGAGGAGAGCATGATTCCATCTGTACCTGTCCTTAAAGTTGAGATGACGACCTCTCTGTTACCAGTTGCTAATGAGCTTCTGCTGAGGTGGCTATTGGTTACACTTTCTTAGATGTTAACATTAAACTATTAGCTGCTTAATAATAATAATAGTGGTAGTAGAACGAATCACTTTCAAGATGAAAAACAAAATTAGAAATAGAAGGAATTTTCTTAAGCTGCAAACAGTTATTAAAAACCTCCAGCAAACTGGGTGCAGTGGCTCAAGCCCATAAACTCAGATACTCAGGAGGTGGAGATGGAGAGGACCAGATTTGTGGCCAGCCCAGCTAAAAAGTTCACAAGACCCCATCTCATAGCACCAACAGCTAGATGCAGTAGCACACACCTGTTACCCCAGTTGTTTGTGCAAGGAAACACAAATAGGAGGATGGAGGTCTACCCAGCCCAGGCATAAAACCAGACCCTATCTCAAAAATAACCAACAAAAAAAGGGTTGGCAGAGTGGGTCAAGTGGTAGAGTGCTTGCCTAGCAAGTGCAAGGTCTTGAATTCAACCCTCAATACTGCAAAATAAATACATAAATTTAAACACCCTTCAACAAGTAGTATATATAACAATGAGATTTTAGAAGCATTCCCTCTAAGAAAAAGAAGCCAATGGTATAATAAGTGGAAAGGATGGACGTGTACACAAAAGTACAGCTGACCACAAAAGATGAGAAGAATCCACAGGTAACTGCAAGAATTATTGAGAGGTCACTGAGGTCACCGCATCAAACATGTGCCACCAACCACAAGAAAACATAATTTATGTAAAAACCCTGTGCACAACATAACAGAACTATGAAGTACCTAAGAATTTAATAAAATACACGTATCAAAGATCTTCATGGAAAAGTTACAACACATGATTCTAAAACATAAAAACTCAATATTGAAAAGAAGTCATTCCTTTTTAAATCACCTACAAAATTTAATGTCAATCCAAACAAAATCTTTAAGTTTGAGGCTTTCTGTTTTATTTATGTCTGTGTTATTTGATGAACTATAACTAACATTCACGTGGAAGAAGAGCTAAGAACAACCAAGACAATTTTGAAAATAACAAAGTGGGACTCTTGATAACACATGTATTAAGACATTTTCTAATTTTAAGAATTAAGGCAGCTGGGTGCCGGTGGCTCATGCCTACAATCCCAGCTACTCAGGAGGCAAAGATCAGGAGGGTCCAGGTTCAAAGCCAGCCCAGGCAAACAGTTTGCGAGACCCTATCTCAAAAAAACCCAACACAAAAAAGGGCTGGAGTGGCTCAAGGTGAAGGCCCTGAGTTCAAACTCCAGTATCACAAAGAAAAAAGAATTAAGGCACTAAATTGTTGGCACAATTAAAGACAAAGCAGCGGCAGAAAACTGATTAGAGTCAACCACAGACTCTGTGTCATTATAAATCAGTAGGGAAAGGATGACTGATATCATTAGTGATGCTGAGAAACTGGTTAGCCACAACTTAAAACTTACATTCTCCTGTGGGCTGATTTGTGTCTCCTACCCCCTGGCCCTCCAAACTCTTCTGTCATGACCCTACCCTGCAATGTGAATGGCACTTGGAGATGAAGACTTTGGGAATAATCAGGTTTAGGTGAGGTCAGGACCATCATGATGGGGGGGTTCTCTTACGGGAGAGACATCAGGGATTGTGCTCACACCCCCACGGCAAGAAGTGGCCACATACAGCCCAACGAGAGCACCCTAACCAGACACTGACCATGTAGGCACCTTCCTCTTGGATTTTCAGTCTCCAAAACTGCGAGGAAATAAACTTCTGCTGTAAGTTAAGCTATTCAGTCTATGGTATTTGTCACAGTAGCCTGACCTAACAAGTTCCTACTGCACAAAAATAAATAAATACAATAAAAAACAAGAAAGAAAGACTGCCTCTGACATTCTGTACCAAAGAATCATTTGCCAATCTCTAAATATTAATCTGCCAACATTCAACTGCTCACAGTTAAGCAAACGGTAGGATTTTTCCTCTGACACAGCCCACTGACATCCACCAGCAAAAATACAGTCAAATGTGATTACAGTCCAAGTCTGTAAAATGACCATTAGCCCGTCACAGTGTAACTTATGTGGTTGTTAAAATACAAAGAGAGAATAATTTAAATCAGCAGCCAAGAGACTAAAACCGAAAACAGACAAGTGTTAAGAACACACTGCTATAGCTCAGATGTCCCCTCAAAGTTTCCTGGGTCGAGGTGAAGGGCTTTAAGAAGAGGGGCCTAAGGAAGGTATTTAGGTCAAGGATCTCCATCCTTAAAAATGGTTGATGTTGGTCTTGTGGAGTATGTTGGATCTCAAAAGGATGAATTAGTTCTTGTGAGTGAGTTATTTAGAGCGAGTCCACCCCACATGCCTGGTCCTATCTGCATGCAGCTGGATCCCTTCTTGCTTCTCCATTATATGGTGACACAGCCAGGGGCCCTCAGCAAGACACCCTCACTAGAATGCCAGTACCCTGCTGTCTGGACCCCCACCATCCAAATCATGAGCCAAATAAACCTCTTTACTTCATAAGTCACCCAGTCTCAGGTATTTCATTATAGAAACACAAAACAAACTAAGACACAGCCTATGGGATGAGGAAAAACTATTTAAAACAAAATGAGACAACAGACTTGCACTTGGTATTTGTGCTGAAAACACAAACCATCCTCGGGATGAACAATGACTGACAGTCGCAGGGGATGGGGGAATGCAGACAGGTCATGAGACTGCACAGCAGTCTGCAGCTTTTGCTTTCTTGACAGCAAGAGTTCTTTCTTCCATCTAGTCAAGCCAAAGAGAAACAAGCAGGGCTGGGGCTGTAGCTCAGCATGTTCCATCACCAGCACTGCAAAGAAAAGAAAAAAGGAAGAAAAGGGACAGCTTACCCTAAATCCCAATCACCACACACCTACGTCCTGGGACACTGTCAATAAATGGTGCTCACCAAGCAGGCTTTGGAATCCATTCCAGTTTTGTGAGACAGATCATTATGGTATTTGAAAACTGTCATATCACAGTGAAAATCATAAGAAAACCTCTAAGCCTGTCCTCATGAGGTAAACTCGGAGTAACTACTTGTAATTACTGCAATTACTAAATGCAGAATATTGAATATCAGCTCCTGAAGTCGAACTCCTCCTTGGTATAATTATAGGATCATACTATCCTTTATATTAACACCTACTCTTTTCACTGTCAATCCACATTGCCATCCTCTTTCAGCCCCAATTCAAGACGTATCACTCTTCGGAAGTCTTTGTTGACATAATGCAGGAAGTCTACTCAGCATCTGTGTTACCAAGTATCTAAATGGAGTCTCATGTGGGGACACGCTGCTCTGGGAAGGGTTTTATGTTTATGCACGTGCACGAATTCTTCTCAATGAGATTATTCTGAGGATTTCTTTTATAACTCGGAGCGTCACATAATTTTCTATCAAAATACTGGTCTCATTAGAAAATCTGCACCCCCAAATCCTTCCATTTTACCTTTAAAATTCATCGAGAATGTAGAGCAATACCCCAATATATTTCCTTTTACAGAAAAAGTTAAGGAAAAACTGCAACCCTTGCACTTTGTGGGATAGTAACATAGTACACCCTCTATGGAGGTAAAACAGAACTACAACATGACCCAGAAATCCCATTTCTGGAAGAATTGAAAGCAGAGTCTCACTCACGTCCTTGCAGCACTACCCACAATACCCAGGTGGTAGAAGCAACCCAGTGTCTACTGACAGATGAACAGATAGGCAAAGTGTGATACACACGATACAATGCAATGTTATTCCATCTGAAAAAGGAAAGAAATCAGGTGGGTACCAATGGCTTGTGCCTGTAATTCTAGCTATGTGGGAGACTGAGATCAGGAGGATCGAGGTTTGAGGCCAGCCCAAGCAGATAACTCAAGAGACCCCATCTCCAAATTAACCAGAGCAAAATGGACCAGATGGATGGCTCAAATGGCAGAGTGCTTGTTTTGCAAGCACAAAGCCCTGAGTTCAAACCCCAGCCCCACCAAAAAAAAAAAAAAAAAAAAAAGAAGAAGAAGAAGAAGAAAGGAAGGGAGGGAGGGAGGGAGGGAAGAACCCTGTCATATGCTCCAACATGGATAAACCTTGAGAACATGACACCAAATTGAATAAGGCAGTCACAAAAAGACAAACACTGCAAGACTGCACTTGTATGAAGAACCTAAAGTAGTCAAATTAATGGAAACACAAAGAATAATGGTTCTCGATAACAGGGCTGGAATGGGAGTCAAGAGCTATAGTTTCAGATTCTGGGGGTACGGTCTGGGATTTGAGTTCAGCATTCAAGCTTGCTAGACAGGTGCACTACCACCTGAGCCATGCCCCCAGCCCTTCCAGTTTCCCATTTGAAAGACCAAAAGGTTTTAGACTTAACACCACTGAACTAAATACTTAAAAAGTTGTGAGTTTCTTAACCACAGTGCTGTAAGTTACTTTGTTTGCCCCAAATCTTCAAGCACTACTGATTCTACACAACAGGAACCTATGGAATAGTTAACTAAAATCTCACACAGGTTTCAGTGGAGCTCACAGAACAAAGCCTTCCTCTTCTTTCACTTCCCCTACTCGATTCAAGGAATGAATTCAAGAAGGCAAATCCCCAGGGCTAAGTGCAGGGAATCTGAGATAATTTAGGGCATGATCCCTGCCTCCAGCCCTTCAGACACCCAGTGCACCCAGCTCAGTACTGGCAACCTAGGGTGTACCCCTCAAATGCCCACTAAGTTGCAGGAGAAAGTGAGGTTCCTTTGAGCTGAAGTTTCTCTGGACAAAGTTTCTATGATGATAAGCACAAAGAACACACCTGAAGGTCGAACAGAAGTCAATATAGTGTAAAAAAAAAAAATGAAACCGAACGTCGTTTTAAGAACTGTACAACTAATAAAAATGACAGAAATGCCCTCCAATTAAAGCAGACATTGAGTCCTGAGGTCCAGGATAGCCAGCACTGCAGGGAGAGTCTCCATAGCAACAAGAGTGAGCACGAGTTGTGCAGTGAAATAGGCAATTGAGGGGTGAGATGGCCGTAAAGACATCTGCTGTCAGGAACGTCAACATTTTATCCGTGAGAGCAGATGAATTCTGAGCAACGTCCACAATCGCAGCACACCAAGCTATTCCCATAACAGTTATGGCCCATGCTACTTTCTGGTGGGTCTTTCTGTGCATTACAGTGTCAATTGTGTCATAAATCCTAAGACTGTCTCTGGGTACAACCACAAGAGACACTTAGTCTACGAGAACAAGGTTGCTATCCTGAGTAATGGCGGATGGCTAGTTCTGTTACCACAGAAACGGCTTTTCTGCCAAGGAGTCTGATAAAACGGACATTATGGGGAAGCTGCTCTGCTCTGTCCTCAGTGTCTCATCTTAGCCTTCACCAAAAGCCTGGTCTCCCCTCCTCCAGTCCTGCATGCCTCAGACCACTCGTCTGCACTCCAAATTAACCTTGTAAATTCCAAGCTTATGATGACATGCGCCTGCTCACACCTTCGGTGGATTTCAATCCCAGGTGTAGCATAGGAGGGCTTTATGAGTCAGTCCCTGAATGACACATTCTTAGAAATTTTTACTTTTAAATAGTTTCAAGCCTGGAGAAACATCCAAGAACAGTAAAAGCAACTCCTGGTCTTGTCCACCCAAATCTACCATTTACAAACCTCAATGAGAGCACAAATTGTGTATTTCATTCACAGTGTCTGGCACACAGCTGGTGTTGAATGAATCCAGTCAAGTGAACATCACCTGCACTCTCTCCTTAACTCTTGGGTGACTGTTGAAGGCTTGTTGTCTGTTTATTTGTGACAGAGTCTCACTATGTAGTCCAGGCTGTGTAGCCCATTGATCTCTTGATCCTCCTGCTTCAGCCTCCAGAGTGCTGAGATTACAGGCATGCACGACCATGCCTGGTTAAGATATCTTTTTTGAGCAGGAGTCTGTAAGGGCAAAAAAAAAAAAAAAAAAAAAGTGATAACAGCAGTCAAAGCTAGGAAGGTAATTGACCTGGTGGCCCTAGTCATGTGAAGCTTCAAAAGAACAGCCTGAAAGACTATGGAACAGGAGGCACAACTATCTCTGGTGTGTGAGTACAGGAAGGGCTGAGAAGAGAATGGCTGGCTGAGAAATCTTATTCTAAGAGCAGTTAGCCAGCCCATTCCTCCAGATCTCTGCCCAGTACAACATCACTGACCCTCCCTCCAACTAGCAGGAAACACTGTTTAGAAAAGCCATTCAACTGGCTGTCTCAAGCATCCATGAGCCAGGCTCAGCCCCAGACGCCCAGAAGTCCTGGGGGAACAAGCAACATCCTGCCCTTGTGGGGACACACTGGCGAGGAGATTTGTGCTGCTCTGCTGTGTTGACAGGAGGAGCAGGCCAGTGGTAAGAGGTGTGGTGTGGAAGGAAGAAGGGAGCCACATGCATCCTGAGGGGGAGCATCCCAGAGGGCAGTGGTTCACAAACTATGAGGTGGCTGACTCAGTCACTGCATGGGGAGGTCTGAACTGTGGTGAGGCCAGGTCACAAAAGCAGGATCTGAGCAAGGGTTTCCCTTCTACGCTCACCCTGGAATCCCTAGAGAGCTTTCAAACTGACACTCCATCCAGAGTTCCTGATGCCAGTTCTGATTGGTGTGGGATTGTGGTTTGCATCAGAAACTCCTCAAAGATGATGTGTTGAAGGCTTGGTCCCCAGCCTGTGGCACTACAGGGAGGTGGTAGAGCCTTTAGGTAGATAGTGGAAGGAAGTTAGGTCTTTGAAGGGAATATCGAAACATCAGTCACTTTCTCCCTTACACACCCCTCCCCCTCTAGGTTTCCTGGCCACCATGAGGCAAGCAGCCTCTTGAGCCGCAAGTTCCCACCACTGTGAAGTACTGCCTCATCGTAGGCCCCAAAGCCAGTGGCCAACCATGGATTAAAACCTCAGAAACCATGAGCCAAAATAAATCTCCCTCCTTTAAGTTGCTTTATCTTGGGCAGTTTGTCACGGAATCAGAGAACTGACTAACACTAGTCATCAGTAGTTTCAAATTTTCCACAGGTGTAGACAGGCTAGAACCATCAAACAGAGGAACTCTGGACTATAGACCCTGGGCACAGCCACGGGATGAAGTGAAAGGGACTCCACTGAAAACAGGAAGTAAACGGCAAACTCAAGGGCTAGACCCTCAGCCCCTCCAGCCTCCAGAGACCACTGGTACCCTGACTCGCACACCTTAGCTGGAGAATGCTCTGGGCAAAAATGATGAATATTCCAGCATGCCAGACATCTGGGACACTCCTCAGACCTTAATTCCTTGAGTCTCAACAAACAGAACAGGAAAAGTGAAAACCTATGAAGAGAGGTTAGAGAAAAGGGTAAGGAAAGCAGAAATATCTAATGTACGAATACATTTGGGAGACGTAATGAAGCGAGCAATTTAACTATGGAGTATAATCACTCACCTCCCTTGGAAACGATCAAATAGAGCAAAAAAGCAGCTGTGATGAACGGACAACACTGCAGCACCGGGACCCTACATGTCCAAAATACATGAGCAACTCCACTGTCTCAGAGGCTTTTCATTTTCAAGAACGACAAAAGTCTTTTTACTGTTGGGAGTTGAACCCAGAGCCTCAGCATGCACTCCACTACTGAGCTACACCTCAAACTAAATGTAAACACATTCAAGTATATGTACAATTAGATATTAACATAAAAGAACACATGCTATCTCTAAAAACATTCAGTATATGTGTGATATGAGATGTTCTTAATTGTCTACATAAGCACAAACTGGTAAGAATCAAACATCACTGAACTAGTCATTTTGTATATTTTTAAAATAAATTTTAAATACCTAAATGTCAAAAAAGCATCAACATTTTAAAGATAGCAATGATGCAAAGAGACATTACAATAAAAAAAAGCTGTAACACTTTTAGCATCTCTTAATAAAAATCTAAGTATTTAGATCTCTAAATAAAGATTATAAAACTGCAAGGATTTGAGAAGCCAAGGATACATCTTTTAAAAAGTATGGCCTTTCAAAGTTGTTCAAATGCAACAGGTTGACTCATTCATTTATTGATGTCCTGCTATGTGCCAAGTATCCTGCAGAGACTTCAAAGATGAAAGACATCCCCCTGTCCTCAGAAGCTTAAAGCTAGGGAGTGGCAAGGGGCAGAGCTAAATGTGTTATGACAATTTAAGTAGAGGAGCACACACAGAACAGAAAGAAGGACAGACTGCCTGCCCTGGGGCGTCAGGGCAAGTCTTAGGAAAGAAATGAGGGCTGCAGAGAGTTTTGAAGGGAAGGGAAAACAAATAAAACAACTGGTCAAAGGAAAGAAACCAGGTAGGAGGCACAGGGAA